AAGTAGATTAGTGGTTGCCTAAGGCTAGGGGTGGGAGAGGCAGCAGCTGCAAATGGGTACAAAGAACCTTTCGAGGGTGATGAAAATATTCTAAAATTGGTTTGTGGTGGTAGTTGCACAATTTTTTAGACAGTAAAAATCAATGTACTTTATGGTATGAAAAATTTTTGTCAATAAAACTGCTATAAAAATAAAGCTTTTCTAATGCATTAGAATATGGAATTATTTAAACAATTCAACAAACTATGTAGAGATATTCTAGTTTAGATACTACGAACATTGAAATTATCAAATCAGTAGTCTGAGGTGACAGAGTGTATATCTTATAAAAACAGAGATGGCTCAAACCCAGGGATTTTTTTCTTTTCTTTTAATGTGTCTATAAAACCTGTTTCTAACTTAGTTATACTGATTATAATGAACAGCTCTATAACACAAGAAGTAATGATGACTATTAATTACACTTTAGTTTGGTGATTGCAATCTTCACAATTCTTCTAACCGTCACGATTTTCTTCATTTACATGGCAACATAGAAAAACTCCCTCAACTGACTGAGAGTAGAAAATACTGCGTTATAAATAAGCACTAGTAAAGTCTAAATTCTAAAAACAAAAAACAGAAGCAGTTTAAAAAATACAACCTCTATACTGTCAACTCCTGAAGTTTTATCTCCATTCTGGAACTCTCCTGGACTCCAGACTTGTACTCGGCCTCCTCAGTATCTCCCCCTCAGATTCCTCCTGGGTATTTACTTCAAACTCATTATGACCAAGATTGAATTCTTGAGTCACTTCCTCCCCCAAATCTCTTCCTGTCGTATTTTTCACTTCAGTAGATCATAATTTTGTTATTTTGGTTGACGGGCTCTAGTGTTGGGAGTCATCCTCAACTCACTTCTCCTTTTCCCTCATACCCTATCTACATCCAATCCATCAATAGACACAGTTGACACACATTTTCAGTGTTTCTAGGATCCAACCATTTAACACTCCCTCTACTGTAGCCACTTTGGTCCAAGTCACCATTATTTGTCCCCTGGATTACACTTCTATCATCACCTCTTACAGACAATTTTCAACTCAGTAGCCAGAGAAATGCTTTTGAAAGTTAAACCAGCCTTGTTACTCCTCCCATGGCTTCCAACTTCACTGAAAACCAAAGTGCTTGCGATGGGCATGGACCTACATGGGCTGCAGCTGTCTGTCTCATCTCAATGACCGCATCTGCTACCAATCTTCAACTGGATTAGCTTACACCAGCTATACAGCCCTCCGTGCTGTTCCCCGAATACTCCAACCATGATGCTATTTCAAGGCCTTTGCACCGGCTGTTTCCTCTGTCTGGATTGCTCCTCCTCTACTTGCCTCTAACTCCTTCAGGTCTCTACTGGACTGTCACATTACCAGTTTGTCTTCACCTCCCAAGGACACACAATCTTCCTTATCCTGTGCTTCATTTTTGCCATTGCACTGATCACCATGTGACATCTTCTATATTTACTTATTACTTTGCATTTGCTTGTTTGTCTTTCTCAACTAGAATACAAGCTCTACAAAAGCAGGTGCTTTATTTTGTTCGCCTCTTTAGTTCCATCTCTTAGAATAGTGTCTAGAACATAGGAGGTGCCCAATAAATATTTGCTGAATTAATCAATGAATAAACTCTAGTGAACTAAATATCATGCAAAATGCTGAAGAGTTTGTTTGAATAAGAGTATTAAAACATTCAGCCTTTTTATTAAACAACCTAAATAAAAAAGAGATAATCTCACATATCTATTGTTTGGGATATTAATACCAGTATGAAAATTTAGCACAATTTTCCTATTTAGGGATGATTCTAGTTAAAAAAAGGATTATCTGACCTAATGACTACTGGGTAAAACCAGATTTTTAAAGCCTAAAAATAAATATTGAACCAGTTTTCCATGCTATAAAAAGGTACTAATATAATAGAGAAGGAAAAAAATAAAGCATAGAATTTAAAAATCTGAAAGAGTCTTTAGAGGTGATTCAATTATCTTTTATTTTATAAAAGAGGAGGGTGAGATGTAAAATGACTTGCCCATGTAAGTTGTGTGCTGTGGTCAAACTGGTCTTTAAAAATACATATTTAAGTCCCTACCCCTCCTAAAAAATTATTTGAATTCCCAAATTCCTTCAAAGATAGGAGAGCCTACACTAGGGCTTGTTGCAAACATAAAGGGAGTAGAAGGAGGGAGAACATAAAGTGTCAAGCACAGGGCCTGATGGACACTGTGCTTACTGAATGGCAGCTGGTAGCCACTGGCTCAGCTTAAGTCCTATCTCTCCCACTAAGACTGCATAAGAGATGAGTCCAACCAACCCTGCTGTCTGTGACCTTTGCCAGACTGTACTCGATGGGCACTTCCCCCTCTAGGCTCTCATTCGTTCACTATCTTAGGTTGATAGTTATTTTTTTTTGTGGAAATCCTTTCTCAATTAAATTATAAATAATAATTAAATTCAAAGAATTATTTAAAAAACATTAAACTTAAAATGTATAATACTTTTTATATGATTATTAATAAGACAAGCACAGGCTGTGACATTCATTTTTTTTACTATTTTAAGTATATGTTTCTTGATGAACTCAAGGTCCTCGAATGGTGTTGACTATCTTTCAGAACATTTTTAATAGGAATTTCAAATTTTGTGGTCGATTATTTCCTTAGTGCAGATTTCTAAAAATCAAAATAGTTGGTCAAAGGGTAGATATAACATAACATATTATATGTCAATATGGCTTTTCAGATACATATAACTACAATGTTTACCAGTTAGCCTATTAGGACATGAATAGACAATATTTATCTGTAGAAAGGAGCCACTTACGGTATTTTTAATGAATAATTTGGTAATGTTAACAAGCCAAGGGAAGTTAGAATCACAGAATTCTATAACTTAAACCTTGGCAAGCCTTTTCATGTTACCCAAATTTTTATACGTAGAAAAAATAAAATCTAGAGAAGTTAAATAATTTATCTAAAGTTACATGGCAATTTAGTGGCAAAGCCTGGGCTCATTTCTAAGTTCCAAAACTCAGAAATACAATACAAGCTTCTTTTTTTTATGGATAATATTTAAAAGTTAGAAAATACTTCTCCAAAAGGCAATCTGTCAACACCTATTAGGATGGCTATTAAAAAAAACAACAACAACAGAAAGTAACGACTTGGGGAGGATACAGAGAACTGGAACATCTGCCCACTTTGGTGGTAATGTAAAATGATGCACCTGCTACAGAAAACAGTATGGTGGTATTTTCTGATTAAAAATAGAATTACCATATAATCGAGCAATTTCACTTCTCAGTATATCCCCAAAAGAATTGAAAGCAGGGTCTCAAAGAGATGTTTGTATATTCATGTCTATAGAAAGATTAGTCACAATAGCCAAAAGGTAGAAACTATCCGATTGTCCATTGACTTATTATTGTATAAAAAAAAATATGGTATATACAGACAACAGAATATTATTCAGTCTCAAAAAGGAAGGAGAGTCTGACGTATGTTACAACATGGGTGAACTTTGAGGACATTATGCTAAGAGAAATAAGACAATCACAAAAGCAAAAACACTGAATGAGTCCACTTACATGGGAGACCCAGAGTAGTAAATTCATAGAGACAGAAAGTAGAAAGGTGGTTGCCAGAAACTACAAAGGTGGTTGGAAGAAGGGAATAGGGGAGATTCAGTTTTATGAAATAAAACGAGCACGAAAAATAGATAGTGGTGATGGTTGTACCACAGTAAGAATGTACTTAATGCTACTGAACTGCAGACTTAAAAATGGTTAAGATGGTAAATTTATGTTATGTGTAGTGTACATAAAGGCAATATGTCAAAAATTACTTACATTTGATGCTGGCACTCATGCTGAGTGGAACTGAGCAGTCTACCACAGCTGAAAGAGAAGAATTAGTTGCTTAATAGTATTATTCTTAATATTTATAAATGACAACAAATATCAAATGAGGAAATCACAAAAAGATCCAGAACTTGTTTTAACTTTTATGATACTTCTGGAGATAAAGAAATATAGTATCTTTGACAAAAAATACAGTGGTTGGAACAGCTCATTAGATACCATAAAAGAAGATATTAGTGAACTTGAAAACATAACAAAATAAACTTTTCAAAATGAAACAGAGTGAAGAAAGGCTGGAAAATAAATGCATTGAGCATCATCACTGACCTAACCTACCTATATCATGCACTTAACATACTTGTAATTAGGGTCCCAAAACAAGCTTGAAAAAAAAAAAAAAGCAAAATTGGAGGACCTGTACTGATTCCAAGACTTACTGTAATGCCATAGTAATTAAGGCAGTGTGGTATTATAAAAGAGATATACAGATCAACAGAACTGAAGGTTAAGTCCAG